GTTCACGACAATACGGAAAAATGAAATTACAAAGAAGACTGTTTTCTTGACTACAAAATCTTCAAAACAAACATACATTTCAAGTCTTCGCTAGCCTGGTAGAGTCAGGGAATGACTCAGACTGAGTACTGTCTGGGTACGCCTCTGCCGTCTGGGACACAATTTCAATGTGAGCCGTCCGTGGCTGCTGATGACGTCATTTAATGACGTCACGGGCCGGTGGCGCCCCCGGCTGCTGTGATTCTTCCCGGCGGGACGATCGGAATTAATAGGGACGTCAGAGGGCAAACTTGGTCGGCACAAATGTCCGACGGGAATCCGGCGTCAGGGGACATAGATGGGAGAGAGAGAGAGAGAGAGAGAGAGAGAGAGAGAGAGAGAGAGAGGGAGAGAGAGAGAGAGGGAGAGAGAGAGAGAGAGAGAGAGAGAGAGAGAGAGAGAGAGAGAGACAGACAGAGAGACAGAGAGAGAGAGAGAGGCAACGGACGGGATCATCGATGTTAAATGCTAATAAAGTATAAACAAGAAAACAGAGCCAAAAAGAAACATAGGGCGATATTAGTACGGAAATAAGATGAAATGTTCAATCAAGGTTTTTATTAGTCACAAAATATAAGGACCTATGGCGTAATCTGCATACTCATTATCACTTTTTTTTACAATAAGTGTTTTTCAGAGACTGAGTGGCTAATTTTGATGAAACGCACCTCATCATCACTTCGTGGACAGGACAGGTCTATTAAATGAATAAGTCAAATAAATGAATGGGTTCTTCTTGGCATATGACACATCATTTTTCTTACGTCTACCTCCTCCACTTCACAATTTTACCGACTATCCACACACCCCATTTCCCAATGCTTTCAGTCTAATGCCCCGTCATTGTCGCCGAAATTATAATTTGCCTTGATCAATGAGCCAGTATCCTCAATCCTCATCTAATTACCTAAGCCGCAGACTTCTTGCCCAATATCAGCCTCCATTTCACATTTATAATCAGGTCTCAGGGCGCGGCACTAACTCCAGAGCCCTGCGTTTTATCAGCGCTGCCTTTTTGGATGCGTTGGCGGCACAGAGCACGTGCGCTCATCCTCTCCCCTCCTCCGCACTCTGGCACCGCAATCAATCATCGAGCGCCGGCCGCGGTGTCGAATTTTAATTTGGGGTTAATTTTCCCACACCAGCCACAAAAGCGGCGCTCCTGTTTGGCATTTTCGCCAGTCAGTGGCGGATGTAGATAGGGCTCCCCTAAAAAATCACCGGAAATTACTGGCGAACACTCGCCAACACCGAAATCAGACACGATTTAACCACGGGAGATCACATCCGGTTGGCTGAGGTCCCCTCCGACACTCTCGAGTGACCCCTCTGATTGTCTTCCTGGCGGCGCCCGTGCGCGACGCGCCGATGCGGCGAGTTTTATATTAGATCCTGGCTGGTGTTGGATGACGTCCGTGTGGCGTTTTGACAGTTCATCGCCGCCGCTTTGTCGACGAAATATGGCGCGGTGCGCCGCATTAGTGCCGCAGCACCGAGAGACAATCCCTGCGGAGGTATGACGTGCGGCGGCGCGGCGAATTTGGCGCAGACATCCATCATCGCGCTGTGCAGAGCTGATGATGTCTGCCGCCGAGGGGAGGGGGGATACTGGGGGGGGGGGGGGGTGACTGGGGGGATAAAAGACAAAGGGCACAGAGATTGTGGAGTTTAGGCAGACTGAATTATATCTATTTCGCCAAACCCGAATAAGAGGTCTATATTTTTTTTCTAGTGAAAACTTTATATCGGTAACCGTTTTTCGCCCACTCCTGTTAAAACAAAACAAATTCAATGTAGCCGGAGTAAAACCACTAGTTACAGAAAACTAACCTCAAATGTCGTGTACCCGACCGCGTATTCTCAACACCTAGACCTCAACACCGCAATATTTTCCCATTACCACCACAGAATATCCGGACCTCCCAGGAAACTTCCGTCTCACCTGCGGGGCACCACCCGTCCAGAACCAATGACGTCATAAACCCTGAGGCCAACCGCCGGCCTCCGGCGTTGATTTCGGTCAGCCTTGACCAATGCCGCAGCGAAGGCACCTCAGAAGCGGCCGGCACGTGGGATAAAGAGAAATCCAGCCTCTCAGTTGCACCGACAAGACAGGTTGACAGATAAATGCCCCCGATTTGACAGCAATTTGTCATCGGAATCGTCTGTGTTGGCATCAGGGCGGGGAGAGGGGGGGATGGGGCAGAGGAGGGAGGGGTCCCCCGTTCAGAGGTCACGGGTGGCGGGCAGTGGGACGGACCGCCGCTGGTCGCGGTCCGGCAGACAGCACCCGAGGGCAGCGGCCCGAGCCGTGATAACTCAGCGTAGAACAGGGCGGCATTGTTGGAGACCACACACCGCCGACCGTCTGAGGGGGACGGCCGACAGCGAATTTAGCTCTACCAATTGACCCGGAATAGGTACCAAAACTCAAAAGAGCTACACTTAGAGCTCATCCTTCAACGAAACGGAACAGAGCGGAAAAAGACAACGGGAGACTGCTTAATTAGCACATCCTTTGCCTCGTATCCTCAAGTATGCTTCCAAGTTCCAGTCTTCGGGGCAACCCCAGGCCCAGTTGAAGCTTCGATTCCCGAACCCCGAGCTCATGCGACACCTAGCGACAGTACCGTGAACCTTCGACTCAGGTGCTACACAGGTGGCAGCACCATCGCACCGGCCACGGCAGCAGACCCCAGAGGTCGCTCCACTGAAGGCCCTGGGACCCAGCGGACCACATAGGTAGCGGCGGGCCGTCGCGTCTCCGCCGGTCCATCGTTTGCCACGGTTATCAATGGATTAATGACGCTCCCATTCTGCTTAGACCGGAGGAATGTTTATGAACCTCGATCGCCGCACAGAGGAGCGCCAGGGTATCAAGGAGCCTAACAAAGTGTCTTGTCGTGCTGGGCTCGGGACGGGCTCTCAAAGCCTGAACTAACACCACTAGGGAGCGCATTGAGCTGGTAGGATATCTGAACATCCCAGGAATGTGATTAGACTGGATTCATGGCGTTAATTAATGATTTTGGGGTGGTCCGCAGCCGTCTAATTTAAGACGTTATACGTTGGAGCGAATGACAAGTAAAAGTCAACAAATTTACCATTTTACTTGGAAATTCTAAACCCTGCAGGCTAAATGAGAGTCTTGCATCACATGGTGAACTGGCATAAGCAGATAGGAATTTCCCAATTTCAACTGACATATGGCGACTGGCAATTCGCAGCAAGACAACAGATGGCTAACTGGATTGGAAATGCCTCTGTTTCTGTCTCTGCTCTACGCCATATTTCGTCTGTTCGTCTCTCTGCAGTTTATCTGTCAGTATGGCAGTCTGTATGACAGTTTGTCTGCAGTCTGTCTGTATGGCAGTCTGTCTGTATGACAGTCTGTCAGTATGTTTGTCTGCCTAAGGTGCATGACTTGAAACGGATGTAGTTGCATCATTCATACATAAAACCGCTTAAGATGATGCAATAGGAAATCAGGACACATGATTAACGCTCATATGCAGACACACTAACAGCTGATGGAAATCTCCCGGATGCAGGACGAAGAACACCAGTTTATAAGACTCATAAACAGCTATAAATATCGCATATTCATGCAGTAATACGATGCCCCTCATTCATAAGTGCATGGCTAAATGGTGGTAGCAGCAGGGTGCGCTATATTTACAGGTGCTCATCTTCTAAAAGCTGTGAATGTGAAGGTGAATACCTATACGGTGCACACAGTGAGCAATGAGTGAACAAATAGTGAAACATCAGTGCAGAGGTGGTGCTCTACGACACAGTGCCACATTTGGGTCAGAAACGGGCCTGGCATGACTTAAAGCAATGTTGTATCAGACATCCAAAACATTTGAACTAACTGACGGAGAGATAGGAATTTAACATATTTTGTTTCACAAATAAAACGTTACAACATTGAGAAAAGATACGAAAATTGGAACGCAAATGCAACAAAACCAAGCAAGCATCGATAAGCGAAAGGTCAACAACCTTTGTATATTCGTAATGAAAAAGAAACACGAGTTAAGTCACCTTCCGGAAGTGCAGTCCTAACCAGCGATGAAGATGTCACGAGCTTATTAATTATTCCGACACCACGCGGACAAATCTTGTAGCCATATTGAAACAATCCATCAAGACAGACTATTTTGTTTAGCGGGTCTGAACACCTGTTAACGTTTATGCTTGAGTCGTGTCGATGGCCTGTTAGACACTGAATGCTGAATATGACTCACTGAATATTACTCCAAATAAGTAGTCAATGGATCCAACATCTGCCATGTTCACACGTTGACCCAAATGTGACTCTGCACTAGCATGCAACGTTCGGTACAAATACACTCGAGGGAAAACACCAAGGTTTGATTTTATAATAAGTTAACGTTAATATCATCGACAATACGATATGAAAAAAGAAAATGGAGAGTGCCTGTTTTTCCTCCTTATTAATAATTCACAATATTTGTAAGCACAATAGCTTCTCCTTTAGTTTATCTAATGTTTATGCAAATGAAATAGAAGCCTGCATGATTGTATCACCAAGTTTCCCCTCGAGTGTCACACATTTAGGCAGACCGGTGCAGACGGGTACCGGGTTTCACCGACCGCAGCTGGACCAAGATGGAGACACAACGGCGCTTAGGAACAAACCATTAAAACCAGCAAACCAAACATTATATCAGCTGGAATGAAATATGCAGAAAAAATGAAGTCAATAACCAAAATTTCTGCAAACATATGTCTATGAAATGTTTACTTGTATAACTATTCTATTTTTAAAACCTATGAAAATGACAAGGGTAAAGAAATTTAATTTACCAGAAATCAGCCAAAAATTGATAGCCGCGCGCTGAAACATACCCCGGCGCCTCTGTCCGTCTGTCTGCTGCCCGCTGTGTGTCGGCTCCACCCCTCCCCGTCGGTGAGGTGCGGTGCGGTGCACTTACCATCCTCAGTCGGAGATTGTGCGGTGCCGGTGCTCTTGATACCCTTCGCCGAAGGGTACTTACCTGAAACAACAAAACACGCGCCATTAGAAACACACCCGACACCAAAAACCACACACCGACAAAAACAAATAACGAAACGCCGCGCACGAACAAAGACGAGCGCTGTAATCGCACCTTACTATCATTACAGCTCAATTAACCGGGTCCGCTCGCCTCCAACTGTGTGGGCAGACAAAGATAGGTCGTTTGACGAGCCATATTAAATAAATAAAGTCATTGAGATCTAGTCTCGCGGCGCCAGTTGTCCAACCCGGTTTATGTTTATAGTGCCCTGAAGTGTGTCGTTGCAGGCGCCTTGAGGGGCAGTTCCAGATGAGATATCAGAAGCTGTTTGGAGTATGGTAGGGCTATTGTTAGGTAATGGAGAGAGAGAGAGAGAGAGAGAGAGAGAGAGAGAGAGAGAGAGAGAGAGAGAGAGAGAGAGAGAGAGAGAGAGAGAGAGAGAGAGGAGAGAGAGAGAGAGAGAGAGAGAGAGAGAGAGAGAGAGAGAGAGAGAGAGAGAGAGAGAGAGAGAGAGAGAGAGAGAGAGAGAGAGAGAGAGAGAGAGAGAGAGAGAGAGAGAGAGAGAGAGAGGAGAGAGAGAGAGAGAGAGAGAGAGAGAGAGAGAGAGAGAGAGAGGAGAGAGAGAGAGAGAGAGAGAGAGAGAGAGAGAGAGAGAGAGAGAGAGAGAGCAGAAAGGGAGAGATGGTTTATCATGGCAGGAGCAGGGCATACGTGTTTGAAATAATATTTTCGAACAGATAGCCGCATTCGGATACCTCAGTACATTCTCAGCGCTTTATCTAAAGTAAGCCATTAAATCATGGTATGGTCTAATTAGACAACTAACACAGTTGTCTCCATCCATCATATCTCACAAACGGCTCTGAAAACAGACCTCTCCTCACTCCGGTCCATCTCTCCTCCAAGCCCTCTCTCTCTCTCTTTCTCTCTCTCTCCCTCTCTCCCTCCGACGTCCCTCTCTCCTCCGTATGTTCCTCTGCCCCCCCCCAATGTCCGACAGCACTCCCCGGGAAGATGGTTATCCCGCCCCCCCCCCCATTTGTCACCAGACCAGCGCGCGCCATCCCTCTCTCACGCGGCGCCGTCGGGGTCCTGTCACGATCTCTGTCCGTAGACAGATCACATTCCATGATCGTATCAGGCACGCGCCCCGAAATGATCGAACACCCCGAATATAGATAGTGCCTTGAGCCGCCAGCCCAGGAACAAAACCATCACAACACGACACGGGGCAGATTATCAGCCGTGTTTAGCGTCACATTCAGCTAAAAATCCACCATTAAAACACCTCACCTGCCTGAATTATATTCCAGAAATATTTTCCCAGCCACCCCCACCTGCCACGTCGAGTATCGCCGCGAGCGACGCTAGCGCCTCGCGGCGGCGACTGGCGGAACTAGACCGCCAGCTGCCCCGAACGGAAGTGGGCCGCGGCGCAGGCCATTTTTTATCATTACCTTCATTTGGGCGGCGTTCATTAGGGACCGGGCCGGATGCGGACGCGTCGCCCCGGGCGCGGAAGTGGCCCAGGGTTGTTGTGATGTCTGGGGCGCAGCCGGACGGACGGACGGACGAACACACCAGTTATTACGGAACGGTCACCCTTCTGGCTTTGCCCTGGACTCGGGTCCCCCACCCGCCACCCACACGGGAAGTGTTATGATGACTCGGGGTTGGCCGGCCGAACCCAAGCTAATGTCCACTCACAGTGGTGATCTGGTTTAAAATTACCAGTGGTCCGTTCTGCTGTTTAAAGTACCGTGATATCATCTCATGTCCGCGTACGCAGCTGATAGCGTATTACCCAAACACACCGTGTAGTTGGGACAAGATTGCACGCAGAATCACGCATTAGAAAACCCTTTCAGTGTCATCATCTTTTTAAAATCATCGCCACCATGTGTTACCCACGGTCCATCTAGCCAAAATCACGACGATCATGAGCTCTGTCGCGTAGCTCTTCTGCGTAACGTGGCCTGCGTACCGCGCTAATTCGCCGTAACTAGTGAGGTCTGCTCCCTCGGCGCCGCGGGCTGCGTCTCGTCGGCATCCCGTTAGTAGAGTGTGTCACGTCTGAAGCGGCTGTCAGTTGTCACCTGGCGTCCTGACACCGGATGACAGCTGCTGCAGTGATTTCTGTCATCTCCTGTCCTACTCCTGACATTAGTTAACACCTGTTGTTTATTTTCTGTCATCTTCTGTCCTTGTAGAGTCAGCGGAACGGAGAAGCGCTCACCAAGGAGCAGCAGCTTGGAGGACCATTATGCTATGCAATAAAAATGGTGTCAAAATATTTTCCCTTCTCTGATGCTTCAGGAATATTTACTGCCCTTCACCTGTGCGCGAAGATCTTGATTCACCATGTCCAATCATCCTTTCCTCGTGTTCAGCCAGAAACATCCTGAGGCAATGAGGTCATTTTCTGTTACACACAGCGATTCCAGTGACACTGTCGGTAATGGTGTGTCGTTTCGGGAACTAGCGAATGAAGTTTAGTACCGCCGTTCACCGGTGGATGGCGCTAGCTGGTAGTTTCGGCGAAAACTCCGTCTGAGATGTTTGAAGGCTTCCCTCCTTTGTTCAAACATGGACCCCGTCAGCCCCGGCAGAGGTATTTGTCCAGTGTACACCGCACCTGAGGACGGGTCAGCTGAGGGAGGGGAGTCACTATTGTAGCCTGAGGAATGCCGCGCCGGTCGGGGGACGGGGTCGGGAGGAGGGAGGGGGGGGGGGGGGAGCCAACGCCGTTCTTGCGGTGACGGGCTGGCTTGTCGCCTGGCTACGCTCAGTCGGCGAGGCGCTGCGCATGACCCGGGAGCAGCTGAGAGTCGCATATAGACAATTGGCCCGTTTGTAAGCACGAACACTTGGAATATTGCTGGTGCAGAATTTTAGCATAGGCAAGATGTTTTTTGTGCCAAATTTTGTGTAGGTAGGTACATGTAGGGAATTGATAGAAGTTAATTGTAACATTAAGTTTCCAAAAAAATGGTCCAAATTGTTTCAGATATCGAGGTTTTAGTGACGTCATGATTTGAGTTTTCGACAGAAAACGACACATGTTTAAAAAATAATAGGTATAAAATCACAGAATAGACATACAGACATGCCGTAAACGTCATTGGTCTGCCAATATGTACCATGAACAATCAAATTGGCCAAATTGCCATCTTCGATTTTTGATTACCTATCGTTCTATGGTTTCCAAAATCTTGAACGGAATCTTGGCAATTTCTCGTGACTACTTAACGACCATGATGCATGCATTTCATAACCCGCACCCCGCTGGGGGTCCCGGAATTACACGCCCTGCTGGTGGGCGGGGGTGTTTGAACCCCCCTTTTAACTCGGCTCCTGGGTCATGTAGCGATACGGGGAAAGCTACGTTCGAAAAAGCGTCAGGAATAATGGTGAAATTACTTAGGTCACTTTTTCGGTCAGGTCGTCAAAGGTCAGGTCACCAGAGGTGTTTTGGACCCATGCTACTGAAAGCCCAATTTCCTGTGTTTGACCTGACCTTGACCCGAACTGTGACCTTGAAATTCAACTTTCAGCTAGGTACTCATCGGAAGTGTCTCGTCGCGTTCTTTTGTTTGCCTTCTCGTGCGTTTTGCTGCGTCTATTGGTTCTTGAGTTATCGGCTGGGTAGCTCTATTGGTTCCCGAGTTGTGCGCCGCTTTTTGAAGAAAAAATGTTGACATAGGCAAAATTTGACCTTTGGTGACCTGACCTTTCACCTGACTTAACCCTCGCATGTGTAGGGGGGGGTCGGATGGACCCCCCCCATGGTTTTTCGCGAATAACTCGCGTAAAAAGCGGCCGATCGCGACGAAACTTTCAGTACCCTCGCATTGATCAATTTTACACCTAACCTGAAAATTTCATGACCCTGACCCAAATGACCTTTGACCTGTGACCTCTTTTCCGAGACCATGTTTGGCCGGAATCGCGATTCCGCGTATGTCGGCTCGCACTAGCCGCGTGTTTGCAAGCTTTTCGTGGTTTCAAACGTTCAAACATGTGATTTGATGTTACTCCCGTGTGTGTCAAGGTCACCTGAAAGTCAGGTCAGGTCATTGACCTTTGGTGACCTCGGGTGACCTCGGGTCACTTTTTCGAGTTTTACATGTTTCTAGGCTAGTTTTTGGAGCTGAATTCGAATTTAGCAACCATTTGAACATTTACGAAGTAGTTTTGGTGACTTCGTAACATGTTACGAAGCTGTCAGAGGCGGTTGACACGTACTACGAACACCCGTCACGACGCCTACTGGTTGACCTGACCTGACCTGACCCGACCTGGTCTAAATGCTTCAAGACATCATGTGTGATCAAAACTGACACGATATTCGTGATCAGCACCCCGAAAAACCCCTTAGCAGCCACACTTTACGACTTTCTAACAGGTCCCGATTTTCCCGACTTTGGGACATTGACCTGACCTGGAAGGTCAACCAATGACCTAGGACCGTAAAATTGGGTATCATCGGCTTCCTCTTGTCACGGGCAACACGCTCGTTTTTTCCGCGAAGCTCTAGCTCGATCAGGGGCCAAACGGTAAAGGGGGCGTCCAACCGACCCCCCCCCCCCTACACATTAGAAGCTGGCAAACGCCGCACACATGCGAGGGTTAAAAAACGATCCTAACTATTTTCTTCATTATTTTTGACGCTGTTTTGAATACCACTTACCGCGTGTCACCACGAGGCCCAGGAGCCGAGTTAGACGTGTGAAAACGCCCCCTCCCTCTCAGCACGACACGGAAAACTATGACCATCAGCACGGCGCGGGTTAACTTGACAGTTGAGCTTATCTGCCCCCTTCTAGCCAAACGCTCATCCACTGTTTTAGCCTGCGCCAGGGGAGTAAAGGACGCCGAGACCCCGGACCTGGTGGCTGCCCTGGCCCCTGAGGCAGATTGATGCCGAGAGTTGTATGCTATCGAGGACATCAACGATGTACCCGGTCAATTTTATTTCGCCGCCGACTTGAATATCA